CAGATGCCTGGCCTAGGCCTACCTGCTGCTGTGCTCTCCCAGGGGACAGCGGACAAGTTAGATTGAATATAAAATATTCGGTCAGACATATTCTCTGAAGCAGCCAGACACTTTGGTGTCTTGTAGAGAACTGGTAAAGAAGTTCCTTAGCATTAATCTGCCATGGAAACTGAGGCTTGTGATGTCATCACTACCCAGTGAGATCACAGAAGGAATGTGTGTCTTGAGTGGCAGGCTTCAGATCCTTGCTATTTTATGGAAAATAGGGTGAAAGAAGGAAACTCTGCTTCGACCCTCCCTTCTGACCTTTCCTAGTCAACTAGTCTGTCTGTGTAGTACAAATGGGAGTTGAGAACAGCCCATGACCACAGGTGGTATGAGAACCCAAATTATTAAACTGGTCAGTCATGATTAAATACAGAGACAAGTAGGTTGCATGGCCCTGATTCTAAGTATTTAAGTGTTGGAGAGGCAGAGACTTGAGTGGATTATTTGTTGGGGGAATGCTCCTTGGAAGTGGGCCTGAATGTAAATTAAGATTTGGGCTTGCATGGTGGTGTACGCCTATAATTCCTTTCACTTGAAAAGCTGAGGCCGGAGATTTTTTTAATTCAAAGCCTGTCTCAGCAACTTAGTCCCTAAGCACCTCAGTGAGACCCTGTCTGCAAATGAAATAGAAAAGAAGGTTTGGGGCTGTTGCCCAGTGGTACAATGTTCCTGAGTTCACTTCCCAGTACCAAAAAAAAAAAAAAAGAACATGTTGAAAAACATTCCATTTAGGAATTGCCGCAGTCTGGCTGGGCACAATCAGAAGCCACTTGTCAAAAGAAACTAACTTTATTTTTAGAACCAAACACGCCAAACAAAACAGCCTCTCAGGAAAAATCCTCAGAGCCTCAACTGCCACCACCGGCTTTCCACAAGCCTCTCTCTCACACACAAGCTTCTTCACCTCCCACAATCCTCCTGCTCTTGAGGCCGATTGGCTGGGTCACGTGGGCGGAGCCAAAAAAGTCCCCCAATGAGCAGCTCCGTGGTCTGAAAGGGCAGGAAAACAGTCCAATGAGCATCACCGCAGAGGAGCCAATCAGCTAGATGTTGCTGGGGCCGAGGAGCCAATCAGCTAGATGTTGCTGGGGCCGCTGTGAGCCAATCATCAGCCAGCAGCTGGTGCTGGCAGCTGGAAGTTTGCTGGGGCCCCTTCGGCTGTGGCTCTCAACAGGAATAAAAGTAAAGATAGGCACCTTGGGACTTCATTCTTCCCCATAGTTTAATCCTTTAATGAGTTGGAGGTGTGCTTCAATGGTAGAGATTATTTATTTATTTATTTATTTATTTTGGTACTAGAGATTAAACTGAGGGGCACTCAACCACTGAACCACATCCCTAGCCCTATTTTGTATTTAATTTAGAGACAGGGTCTCACTAAGTTGTTTAGCACTTTGCTTTTGCTGAAGCTTGCTTTGAACTTGAGCTCCTCATGCCTCAGCCTCCCAGGGTTCTGGGATTACAGGCCCTGAGGTGCTGGGATTACAGGCGTGTGTCACAGTGCCTGGGAATTGTAGAGCCTTGAAGTGTTTGCCTAGCATGTGTGAGGCCATGGGTTTGATCTTGGGCTCCACAAAAAAAAAAAACAAAAAACAAAAAACCGAAAAACAAATTCTTTGCACCCTCTCCTTCTTAGAAGTTAGGTCTCAAGCACATGTTAAGGGCCCTATCCAAAGTCACACAGGTAGTGTAGAAGTCTGCTCAACAGTAGGGTTTCATGTTGTTCATGTTGGGGCTCCAGATTTATAGCTAATATGGCAAACTTGTTACATTTCAAGCTGGTGGACAATGAGAAAGATGTTAAAGGTGTTCCAAGGAAAATGAGAGCCTCTAGTGAATTTATAAAGCAGGAATGACAGGCCCGTTTTAATGTAAAATTTGAAACGTCTTCATGACAAAATGACATTACAAAATTACCACATTATCATTTCAGTCCCCGTTCTTCAAAAAAAGAAAATAAACCATGTGTAGTCATTCAAGAAAAAGAAAATAAACTCAACTGATTCTTTGTTCTATACGAGGCAATTTGGAAAGTGATTTATTAAGTACATTGAATTCTACCCCATGATAATTATAGTTAAGGCAGCGCATGAAAACATCATTTATTGCTAGAAATCATGACATGACAGAAAATCAAAATGCATTTTATTCTTCACATTTTATGTGAAATACTATGCTACTATGGTCCAATGCTCAATTACTCCAATACTGGCCAGTAGCTCATCTTTCAAAGCAACAAGCAGCCCCCAGGCCCTGAGAGGCATTAAGGGCACCCTAGCTGACAAGTGTGTTCAACCTCCCAGGACACCAGGAAAGATCCGTAATCCAGAATCCCATTTTAGTTAGCCAAAATGAGGCTTGCTGAAGCCAGTGCTCTCTCACTGAGGATGCTCCTCCTGGAAGCCGCCTTCTTTGTACAGCTGCTAGTTCAATCTTCTGAACCAGCCTCACAGCTCACAGATGGGTCATAAAGCTGATGACTGCACCTGGTACCTCACTCCCAACACGGCTCACCCTCCTTGCTCTGTGGAGGGGAAAATCATCATTGACAAGAGCTCTACATGAGTGCTGTCTAGTCTCTGAGAAGCTACATCTGTGTAGGGCAGTATGTCTTGGGGGCCCTTCCTGAAGCACTGGAAGATACCTGCCCTCATTGAAGCTGGCATTTGCCCCTGAAACCTTAAGTGTTTGATCTTGTGGTCATCCAGAATATTATCCCAGCCAGTTCACAATGCTGGAACTGTTATAGAACACCAGGACTGTTCCTGAGGGTCCAGTCTTGTCTGCTTTGTCATGTTGCTTGAGGATCTGCACCAACTTGTCACCTTATTTGTTCTCTTCAGCCTCATAAATGTTTGTCTGACATGAAGCTTAATGCAGTGGAGCTTGGAACTGGTGATGGTGGTGAGAGAGTCCGGGATTCCGCCTTAAATTAGCAACTGGCCCATGCCTTCAGATCTCATGTTTGGGGCCAACCTCAGCAGCTTAGGGAGTCCCTGTCTCATAAAGGATTCGGGCGGTCTGGGGTTGCAGCTCAGTGGTAGAGCCCTTGCCTAACATGTGAATTACTCAGTTTGATCCTTAGCATCTCATTAAAATAAATAAGTAAAACCATGTATTGTGTTCGTTTTTAACTTTAAAAAATTCTATTAAAAAAGTGGATGGGAGATTTGGTAAAGGACCCCCCCAATACACAGACCAAAAAAGTATAGGTTGAAAAGTCTCTTGTTCCTTAAGGAGGGGGAATCTTTACCTTTTAATGTTTTGAATCTCTCATATGTTTAGTGTATTATCTATTCAAAAAAAGAAAAAAGTTAGAAAGGAAGGAAGGAAGGGAATTCTATTGTGAAAAATTGCTGTGGAAGGGCCAGTGAACTTGAATTTTAGATTCTGTGATTCCATAAGGATGGTCTGGATTTTGTGTATGAGGGGTGAAAGACAGATGGAGCTGGGTGAGTTCCTGGGCTTCCTTGAGACGTCTAAGTCTTGTATCTGTGGCCCTCAAATGCAGAGCTAGTGGCTCCTCCACCCTGCCAATTCTCAAAATGCAAGCCTAGCCAAGTCTGAGGTGACTCTTTTTTTTTTTTTCGGTGCCAGGGATTGAACCATAGGATGTTTAATCACATTCCCAGCCCTTTTTATTTTTAATTTTGAGACAAGAGTCTCACCAAGTCGCTGAAGCCCACTTTGAGCTTGTGATCTTCCTTGTTTACTCTTCTAAGCTGCTGGCAGTATAGGTATGCATTAATGCACCTGGAAGTCTGTGGTGATTTAATTTTCCCTCTGATTGAATCTGTCATCCTTGATTCTGAAATTAAACTGTAACATCCGAACTTAAATCTCTGAGCACATGCTTTGAGCATTCATTAGTATGCAATATATATACTATATTTATTGGGTTTGCTTTTCTCCCCTTCATTCAGATTTTCAAAGATTTCATTCTCTTTTACCCTCCCATGAGATATTGATTACTAAAGTAATTTATTGTAATGTCTAGAACATGGGAAATATAGAAAATTGTAACAAGAGCTAGGTATGGTGGCTTATGCCAATAATCACAGCTCTTTGGGAGGCTGAGTTCAGTGGTAGGGCAAGCCTAGATTCAATTCTCAGTACTGCAGAAGGAAAAAAGAAAAGGGCAAGAAAATTGTTGGTAATAATCCTATTATCATGAGACAAGTATTATTGTTAGGGTTGAGTTTTAAGTGTTTCAGATATGCAGTTTCTGTTTTCTGGTATTTTTGTTTGTTTGGCATGTATCTGGATCCTCAAGACTGGGACATTGTTGCTGGCTGAGGAGAAGGGCCTGGACAATGTTTGTGTCTCTGCATTTAGTGTTGGTACTAAAGCAAGTATTGGGTATGTGAGGAAGGAGTATTTAAATCTCATCACTTAAGGAGGATCCATTGTCTTTTAACGTCTTGGAAGATGGCAGGTTTAGTTTATTATGACACTGAGACCTGAAAAAGAATTTTTTTTTCTTTAAAAAAAATCCAGGTGTACTTAAACATCAAACCACATCTCTATTCCTTTTATATTTTTTTATTTTATTTTTTATTTTGAGACAGGGTCTCCATAAATTGCTTAGGGCCTGGCTATGTGGTGAGACTGATTTTGAACTTGTGGACCTCCTGCCTCAGCCTCCCAAGCCACTGGGATTATTGGCATAAGCCAAGACATCCAGCCAGAAATTCTGTAGAGCCTACTTCTAGAGATCCATGGGTTTTGCCAAGGGCATCATTGTGGTGACTTTAGAATTCATCAGATTCCTGTCCTTGTGATTAAGGGCATGAATCCTGCTGTCTTCCTACTTGTTTAGGAAAATGCCAGTTGTTAATGGACCTTGATTACAAGGTTTGCACACCATGTTACCATGGGAGGCGGGGGGTGGGCAGGAGCCAAGGAGTATCCTCCTCCAACTTAAAGCAGACCTTTCTTCTTGTTCTCTTTAGGGAGGAATGGGAGCTGCTTTGCTGTCAGATCCTGACAAGATTGAGAAGGTAAGTTCTGCATGAGTGAAAGCAGCGTCCTCAAAACATGGCTATGAACTAGAGTTGCCTAGAATGCCTCTCTCCCCCTTTCAGATTTACTGAAGTTCCCTTAGTCTATCCATTTGCAGCCTGGGAATTTTTTAGAAAGCTTCCCAGTGCCAGACGCACTGATGCACACCTGTAATCCCAGTGGCTTGGGATTACAGGTGTGCAAAGTTTTTCCAGACCTCACACAAACATCTTTATTTTGAGAAAATTTCAGCAGGTGGTCCTGAGATGCTCCCACGATGAAATCAGGGTCCTAAAACACAAAGCCTGGAACACAAAGCTCACCCACTCACCCAAACTGCTGGAAGATGGCAGGTTTAGTTTATTATGACACTGGAACAAAAGTTCACAAGTTGGCCCTAGCAATTTTAGCAAGGTCCTAAGCAACTCAGTGAGACCCTGTCTCTAAATAAAATACAAAATTGGGCTGGGGTTGTGGCTCAGTGGTCAAGTGCCTCTGAGTTCAATACCTGGTACCCTCATCCCCCACCTAAATAAAAAGCTTCCCAATGGTTTTGACATGCAGCCAGGTTTGGAAACCCTTGAGCCAGCATACAGCAGCCTTGAGTTGTATAAAAGCCTGGAACTTGGGCCCTGTCGACTAAGAGCCAGAGAGCCTGAAGACTGGGCTAGAGACTCCTCTGTGTTGTCTCTCTCCTTTCTAGGATGCTCATGAGAGCAGAGGCTAGACCACCTTTGGTGAGGGTAGGCTCTGTGTATGTGTGTGTTTGTGGGGTGGGTAGATTGTCCTCTCTAAGGGGCCTGGATGAGAGTAGCAGGGGGGTTCCCCTCCATACCACTGGAGTCTCATCAGTTCTTTGAGAGCAAGCCAGGTCAGGGTCCCATGAAGCAAGCTGAAGTTAGTCTTTCTTTATTTCCCTTCCTGTGGTGATTTTGCAGATAGGCTTAATGAGTCCCCTGGGTCAGGTTGGTATTTGCTATCTAGTGCTGTGGGCTGCTAGGGGTTGTGGGGGTGATATTCTGCCATATCATACCATGTGTACCTTCCTTTCCTTTCCCAGCTCATCAGCTGTCAGCTTGTTGCTGATTGTAGCTCCTTTGTTTTGCTTTTCATGCACCATCCCTACTTCCTTGTCCAGGATTTGAGCCTCATGGTGCTTCCTGCAGATTAGAGTTACTTGGGACTCAGATACTACCATAAGAGCTGCCCTGGTTTGTTCTGGCTGTTGCTGTTCAACTGTGTATATTCTTTCTGTCCAGCTGTCTCTGGGATGTAAGAGGACCACAGTATGTGTTGGCTGGATTCCTTCTGATTTTTCCCACATACAGCCACATATGATGTTCCTCTAACCTGCATATAATGTATCCTTACCATTTCTTGGGTAGTTTCCTTTCAAAGCATATTCCAATGTTATTTTATTTGTCCCTGAAACCCCTTGAGGTACACAGGGCAGGCATTCATTAGCTGCTGCTGCTTCTTTATTGTTGTTGTTGTTAAAGCAATCTTACTGTGTTGCCCAGGCTGTTCTCAACTCATGGGCTTAAGAGATCTTCTGCCTCAGTCTTCCAAATAAATGGGACTGTTGGCATACACTACCATGCCCAATTACAATCTCATTTTGATCAAAAGTAATCAACTAGTCATGAGTGGTGGCACACTCCCAGCAGCTTGGGAGGCTGAGGCAGGAGAATCACAAGTTTGAAACCAGCCGCAGCAACTTAGTGAGGTTATAAGCAACCTATTGAGACTCTGGGTCTTAAAAATAAAAAATAAAAAGGGGCTCAGGATGTGGTTTAGTGGTAAGGGCCCTTAGATTCAATCCCTAGTACCAATAAAAAACAAAAACAAAAGCAACAACCCCTCCCCAAACAAAACAAAACAAAAACATAAAAATAAAGCACACAGAGAGAAAAATGATTTTCTTCAAGATCATATTACAAATAAGAGGCAGGCAGAGCCAACTTCGGAGTCATAGTCTTGTGATTCCTGATGCAGCGTCTGTGTCCCTTCTCAATGACATCTTCCATTAAAGGTGCCTGGCTTCATTTTTAAATGTCTAACCACAGTTCAATAGGCAGCGGAGTTTGGAACTTCCAGTGAGACACCCATGTGCAAGATGGAGTTGAAATGGATAGCCATGATGTCAGAGCAGTTAAGAGAGGGGTCCTCAGCACATGGGCATTTTCTTATCGTCTGACCTGGTTTCTCCGACCAATGCTGCTGGCTCTATCCTTTCTGACGTTCCTCTTTGAATGAGGTACATTTATTCATGAAGCAGTAGAGATGCATTCCAGATGCTTAGATCATTCTGTTTCTTCTCGGGTGAGGGAATCATATAGGTTGGCTAAATGGGGTTTGCCTCATGGAGGGGAAGTTGCAGGGTTGCAGACTTCTCCTACAAAATCCAATGTGATTTTTGCATGGGGGGGCTGGATTCAATTTAAGCCCAGATTGTACTAGCAGTTTGGGTGAGTGGGTGAGCTTTGTGTTCCAGGCTTGGTGTTTTAGGCCCCTGATTTCATCATGGGAGCATCTCAGGACCACCTGCTGAAATTTTCTCAAAATAAAGATGTTTGTGTGAGGTCTGGAAAAACGTTGAAAATACTTAATAATACCACTGAACTATACACTTAAAAAGGGCAAATTTTTTTGGGAGGGGTGGTACTAGGTATTGTACTTGGGAATACTGTGTCACTGAGCTATATACCTAGCCCTTTTTATTTTTTATTTTGAGACAGAGTCTCATTAAGTTCCCGAGGCTGGCCTTGAACTTGTGATCCTCCTGCTCAGACTCCCAAATTGCTGGGATTACGGGTGTGTGCCAACATACTGGGCCCAAGGTGGCAGATTTTATTGTATATAAATTTTATCTCAATTGAAAAAAAAAAAAAAAGATGCTACCTGTTGAATTCTCTAACCTTGGAGTGGATAGGGATGGGGGATATCAGTCTATTGAAAAAAGCTTCCACCAGGTAATGCTGGTATACCTTCCTGGATTTAGACCCTCAGTTTTAGACTGTAGCTCTTAGTGATATATGGTCTCACCCCCGTCCAAGCTTTCTGTGCATCTTCTGGCTGTCCAGGGTATCATTTGTGTGAGTGAAGTTTCTTGAGTCATAGCTACCAGTGAGCAGGCCCAGAACTTGAACTCTGGTCTCACTGATACCCAAGCCTGTGGCTTCCGATCTTCCCACCTGCTCCCTCCTCAACAACCTGGGGAGATAGGGCCGCTTTTTCCCAGGAGGCCAGTTGATCTGGTGAGGCATGCCTTTGGTCGATGTTCTGCTTCTCCACTCAGATATAGGCTTGCCTCTTGTCCTTTATCCCCAGAGATCTTCACCGGGACATGTGGTGTGATGTGGACCTGGAGAGTTGTGTCCAGAAGAGTTTCATGCTAGAGCCTGGCTGGAGGACTGCCTCTAGTTGTTGTTTCCCCTCAGTGCTGCCCTTGCAAGTGGTTAGGGCTTTTAGTTACCTAATCTCCTTCCTTGTCCTTAACATGAAATGAACAGAAATTCTATTCTACTTGGTTAAAATACACTAAAAGGAAGTCCTGTAAGACAGAGCATTGGATCAGACCAGCTGGTGCTTCTTAAATTACTAAATATCAGAGGATTCCAAGTGAGTGCTTGCAAGGGAACTGTCGATAGGTTTTGCCTTGAGCCAGAGATAGAATGAGAGTAAGAATTTTTTGTGTCATGATGGACCTGGCAGTGCCCCTTTAAGACCTGCCAGGGTGACCTTAGGACCTCAGGCCCAGTCTCCTGAGGCAGCACCTGTGGACTGTTCCTGCCTGCCTGTCAATTTTGCCTGGTCCAGCAGACCCTGTCTTGCTCATGAGCCATCCACTGGTCAGCCCAGTTTCTTGGTCTGTTATCTTCCAGAGTGGCTACCTTAGCCTGTCCCTGAGAAAAAGTCCTCCTCTGTTCGTCCTCTGCTTTCTGCTGCCCCCGCCAGTCTAGAAGACTGGCAGCAGTCACCTAGGTATCTCCTCTGCTGAACAGAGGTTCAGTTCTGGGAAAGTCCTTGAGATCACCCTGCTTCCAACTTGCCTGGGTTGAAATTTTTGATTTGGGAAGAAGATAGCAATGTCACAGCCATGCAGTGTCATTTGCATCTCTCTCGATCTCTGATTCTTGTGTGGTCAGGTCTTGCTACCTCACTGACACTTTCCTGTATGGCTTTTTGATCTTTTTTTGAAATCCTTTTCAATTATTATGCAATAAACACTTTTTAGCTTGTTGAAAATGTTGTCCTTTTTTTTTTTTTTGCCTGTTTTATTCCTGTATATCTGACATCTCCAAAGAGGAGTGCAAGGGCCCAGGCCTTTAAAAGCCTTCCTGCTTCTTCACTCTGCAGGGCTCAGGACGCATTCAGGAAACATTTCCTTCCCTTCGTCCAGGGGAGAAGTTGCCAGCCTGTTCTTATCCAGGGCTGGGCCTCAAAATCATATTGAAAACAGAGTGTGTTGGTTAGAAACACACATTCCTAAGCCCTGCCCCTATAGAAATAACAGGATAGAATATAAGAATTTGTGTTTCTTAAGCTTTTCAGGTAATTCTAATGCTTGAACCTGGCAAAGGATTACTGCATTCTACACAGGAATGCATGCAGATCCATTCACTCCCTAGTTCATTCAGTGTATTTAACAAGTATATATATACCATTTTGTGCCAGGCAGGGATCACTGGTGTTGGGGCTGTAGCATAGAACAGAGGCACATTCCTTGTCTCATGGAGTATTCTATGTGTATGTGTGTAACAGATTGATATACATTGTGCATACATGAACTGTCTGTGCCCCTGAAATGCATAGATCTGTAGCAGTATACAAGCAGTGTGGAAGTTTGTTCTAGAAGAGGTAGGTGCTCCTCTGTGCTCCTCTTTGCAGATCCTCAGCACCCTTGTTAAAGGGACGCGCAGACCTGTGACCTGCAAGATCCGTATTCTGCCTTCAGTAAGTATTGTATTCTATTATCTCAAGGTCTATTCTCTCCGGTGGTGTTGGATTTGGGGATTGTGAATGATTCATGATGAATTAGGTTTGGTGGAGGGAGTAGAGTTGAGCCCAATTTAGGAGCCAGCAGCTATAACACTGGGGTCCCAGTAACCACTCTTGTGATCTTCCTCAGCTAGAAGATACCTTGAGCCTTGTGAAGCGGATAGAAAGGACTGGCATTGCTGCCATCACAGTTCATGGGAGGTAAGTGATTGCCTTTTTAGAGACTGGCTGAGAGATTCCTCAGCCATTTTTATAGTCCCTCACTTACGTATTTTGCCTGCCTCTGCCCAACTCTTTGACAACCTGTGAGTTCAGAGGGCACTCAGACTCCTTGAATGGGCTTGCATTTGTCTGTGTTTCTTTTATTGAGCACCTATTGGTGCCAGGCCCTGCTCTGAGCTTGAGAGACACAGAGAAAGAGAAACTCCCCATCCACATGATATTGAAGTTGTAGAGATGGAGTGATTTGCTCAAACCTGTATCATGTAGACAGAAAGTGGTGGAATTAGAACTCTCACTCTTAATGTTTTCTTTTGACTTAATCAAGCAATGGCTTCTCCCTTGAATGACCCCAGACAGATGGCTATTCATTCATTTATTCATTTATTGTGGTACTAGGGATTGAACCCAGGGGTGCTCGATCACTGAACCACTTCACTAGCCCTTTTTATTTTTTATTTTGAAACAGGATCTTATAGTTGCTTAGGGTCTTGCTGAGTTGCAGAGGCTTACCTTGAATTTGTGATCATTCTGCCTCCGCCTTCCACTTCCATTCCACAGTATGCCACCACTCCTGGCAAGATGGCTGTTCTTTTGAAGACATTGCTGCTTTGTAGCTCATGTGTTCCTTTAAGAGAGCCAAGGTGTTTCTGAAGGCTGCTCTTGGTTTCCTAGTCAAATCTGCTCCCTGTGCCCAGGATGTCCTTTCATAAGGAACCCCAGACAACAGACTTTGGCTGGTGACTTCTTGTCTCTAAGAAATGTACCTTTTGGGCTCAGGACTCTTATGGAAGTATCCAAGTTGCTGGTTGTCATTTTGACAGCCTTTTCAAAGGGCATCCAGAGGTCCATCATATACCACAAAAAGCAGAGCTACTCAGATTGAAGGCATATGGGGAGGTGAGAGCCACACATGTATTTACATGCTCTCCTTTCTTGGGCAGTAGGCTTTGGGCTAAAATTGCTTGGTGCCAAATCCTATGTCTGCAGCTTATTAGTTGTGTATCCTTTGGGGAATCACTTCTCTGAGTGCCACAGTCCTAATATGGAAATGAAAATAATTTCTTTTTTATAATTGTCATGAACTGTTTATGAGATTGTAAATAAAACCCTTGGCACATAGCCTGGCCATAGCCTGGCATTATTCTCTTAATAAAGGAAGATCTTTTTTTTTTTTTTTTTGGTGCTGGGATTGAACCTGGGGTGCTTTACCACTGAGCTACATCCCTAGTTCTTTTTTGTGTTTTTAATTTGTTTTGAGACAAGGTCTCACTGAATTGCTGAGACTGGCCTTGAACTTGCAATCCTTCTTGCAATCCACCAAAGAGGCTTTTACCAGAAGCAGTAGGAAGACAGATTTGGGTTAGTTTTAGGAAAGACTTTCTGACCACTAGAGCTGTTGAGGATGGGCTAAAACTAGCTGGGGATACAGGGAGACAGAGGTGGAAGCTGAGTTGGCAGGACCTTCTGAGGAATTCAGGAATGTAGCAGAGGGGACACACTCAGAAAAGACCTGTCAACCACCTCGCCTGCTTATCTCTGAGCATGGGTCAGGCGTTGCCTCAGAGTCCCTAAGACTTGCTCACTCATGCACAAGAACTGCTTTCAGTCAACTTTGGAAGGAGGGGCCTTGGGTCATGTCCTGCTTCCCCTGTGGTTTATCATGACAGCCAAGCTCTGTGGCTTGCCCTGGCTGCCCTGAGCACGGGGCCTACCCTGTGTCAGGTGCTTTTCCCCAGGATCAGCTGTGGAACTTGGCTTCAGCACAGGCAGCTGTGTGGGAGTGGTCAGTCTGAGCAGTAGCAGCTGTTCCAGTCCCTTAGAGAGGATAAGACTGGGACAGTCGGGGTAGCATTCTTATAGCACTGTCTCTCATCTCTGGCGGAGGCAAGGAGAAGTCAGGGAAAGCAGCATGACCTTGGTTGCCAAGCCATTTACATTGGCCTCCTGCAGTCATGCCTTGCCTGCTGGCCTCTGAGATTTGGACTTGCCTCCTCAGCATGGACCTTGGCTGCTCCTACTCCTCACCACAGAGTTCCTCCCTAGAGATTAGGGAGGCCATTCCTGCAACCTGTCCTTGATGACCACATGGCTGCCTAATCTTCCTGAGGTTCAGTAGGGAGGACAGTAGGTCTTAGCTAAGGTAAACATGGGTGAGCACTCAGCCTTCAGCGCCCCCCCCCTCTTTTGTCTCCAAGGAAGCGGGAGGAGCGACCTCAGCACCCTGTCAGCTGTGAAGTCATCAAAGCCATTGCTGAAACCCTCTCCATTCCTGTCATAGCCAAGTAAGCCTCTCGTCTTCCTCGTTTACTTTTTTATGCCCCAACTCATTCAAAATGGACTTGAGCAGGCATTTAAGAAAAGGAATGGGAGCATTAAAAAATGACCATAAAGGAAAAGGGGGGAAAAAAGTGGAGCAAGATGCAGAGTGGTAAATGAGGCAGAAAAGTGGCTATCAATTAAGTCAGGCCACTTGCACTCTGGTGAGCGGCTAATGTAGGGTGCAGGGCAGCTCAGGGCCCTCTGATGCCTGAGCTTGGGGAGAGTGATAAGGTGGCTGCTGAAACAGACTTATGGCAAAGTAATGTCATACCCAGGGTGACTTGTGCATGGTGCAGGGGATTATGTTCATAGGGCTTTGGCTCAGGGAAAGTAATATAGGTCACAGAAACCCAGAGAAGCACTCTGGGTAGTTATAGTACCAGGAATATGGACCAGCAGGTGTGAGGTACTGATGAGCAGCCCAGAGGCCACACCCATTTGGTACTGGGGAACTGGCCTGTGTTCAGTTCAGCCCTGCACCTAAAGGAGTCTGGGAGGTTGCATACGGGGAAGCCCTGACAAAAGGCATACCCGATAGGTGGGAGGGAAGAACTAAGGGTTGGGGTGCATCTGGGCACTGTGTCCCCCAGGTAGTAAATTTTGGGGGTGGCTTGGAGAAGCCAGGGCTATTCAAAACCCTTGAGCCTGTCATTTCTACTATCACCTGAGGGTCCTCGCCCCATTTGACTAGATCTGGACAGAGACTACCAGTAGTTTCTTGATGAAACATATGAGGACAGAACATTTTCTGAGAGGATCCTGGAGCATCAGGGCAGAGGAAGGGGAATTATGACCAAATTGGCCTTCTTCCGGACCCTCATGATCACCAGTGTATCCTCCTTTCCAGGGTTTTGACCCAGTGCTTAGAAGACATATGGGTGGCTACTCAGTTTTGGTATTTTAGTTTCATGTCTTCAGATGTGGGCTGGCATTTGCTACTGTATTGGATGAGGGAAGAGGAGGAAAGTAAAAGGTCTGGAATACCTAATAAATACCAGGCATGGTTTGGATTACTTTACATATGTTATCTTTCTTAGTGAGATTATAATCTCCATTTTGCTGAAGCTCTAATAACTGAAGTGACTTGGCCAAAACCCGACTGTTAATGAGTGGCAGATCAGGAAGTTGCCTTTTTCTGAAAATACTGGTAGGTTCCATAATGAAGACACACCTAACCTTCCTGTTGCTTTTCAGTGGAGGATCTCATGAACACATCCAGCAGCATTTGGACATAGAGGAATTTCGACAAGCCACAGCTGCCTCTTCAGTGATGGTAGCCCGAGCGGCCATGTGGAACCCATCCATCTTCCTCAAAGAGGGTCTGCGGCCCCTGGAGGAGGTCATGCAGAAGTACATAAGATATGTACGTGTCTGCACTTTTTCAAAACCCCCATTTCTGTCTGCCACAATCCTTCAGAGAGCACTTTATGGGGGCCTCCAGCGGCCAGCAGCCCCTGTTGTTCTGCTCCTCTCCTTGTTAGCTCTTGGAGTGTGGCACTGAGTCTCATCAGCTGCCATATGAAGAGAAGATGCTAGGATGTGTGCCCCATCATCATCTTCTAAAGCTTCTAGAGATATAGAGGTCATAGCAAGGACCTTCTGGATCCAGGATGCTGCTGAGACCCCACACACATGATATTGTCTTCTTTCTCCCTCACACTCCACATGTCCACATGCCCATGCACATGGACAAAGAGGTTTTGTGTCACCGAAGACAGTCATGGCTGTGTGTTGGAACAGGTGCAGCCAAAGCCAGGAAGAGCCATTGTAGTCGTTGCTGGAGACAGATTATCTCTATAGAGATTTCTCACCTGATTTGACTTATCTGTCAAAATTACTTGTAAAACTTTTCTATTGCAGATTTCTAGGATGCTTTGCTATGAGTTAGGGAATAATCTAACTAATGCTCTACTTAATGAATAGAATTTTCTAAAGCAGTTTCTTTCCACTGGGGGTACAATGGTAGCACTAGGGGCATTTCCCTGCAAAGGAATTTTTTTTTTAATTTTTAATGAGTTCACACCTGTTTTCCACAACTGTGGGACTCTGTGGGACTCTGCTACACATCTATAGGCAGAGACTGAGTGGTCCTCAAACTCTTCAGTGAATTGGACCTGGGTGGAGAATGTAGCTCTTGCTCAGAGCAGGCTTCTACCTTCTTTAATCCTAGGGCTTACCTGCATGGAGCTACTTATGTCCTCTTTAAGTTATGGCCATGCATGTGGGGTTCCCATGGCCGAGCAAGCTGGGGATGGTAGGAGGACTTGAGCCTTTGTCCAGAGCTGGGAAGCCACTGTCCTAGAGCCTCCTCTCTTCAGTGCTACAGCCCTCATCCCCTTGGTTCTGGATGTACTGTTGGGCAGTTTGGTTACAACCAGTTCTCCAGTGGTCTGGGTCAGCTAGAGGCAAGGGACTTTGCCTCGTCCCAGGTCAGCTTTCCATCTCTTCTGGCCAGTTGGCAGATGTATAGCAGAGAAGACAAGTTTAGCAGTGCTGAGTCTGCTCACTGGGTGAAAGGTGATGTTATTACTCCTGCTTCACTGTCCCTTGGCAGCTTTCAAGAGGGTGTGTTGTCAGAGAAAGAGAGTGGACTTAAGTGTCAGCAGGGCTGGCTTTTGGTCCAGCCAGATGTCTTCAGGTCCAAATAAGCTGAATCATGGCTCTGCTGCTGGCTGGGGCTTACCCACTTATTTCCCATTTTGTCATGAGTACATCATAGCACCTTCCTAGGCACTGATGATAAAAACTCAGGCAGAGATTCTAAAATATATAATTACAGAGAGCAAGGGCTAGGAGGAGGATCTGAAGTTTTTATCTAAAAACTTTTATCTGCTCTCCTACCCTGTCCTTGACCATGTGGGTGTCGATGGTACCCTTGGGCAGTCATCTTTCCTTCCCGAGACTCACTTCCAAGGCTGTGGAGTGGGATAATAGCTGCACTTTGTATAAAGATATGAAGTGACAAATAGTATATCAAATATGCCTGGTAAATGGAGCTGTACCCTACCCTTGTAGAGGAAGTTGGAGAGAACTTAATCAAGATGTCAGAAGAGAAGGTACACCAGGCTCTAAGAAGACTCTCACCCCTGTCCTTGGTGTTCCCCTTCCCTGTAGTAGGTTTTCCATCATAGTCTGTGGTGGCGAAAGCAGGACGGGGATTCCTGCACTTCTAGACCTCAAGCAGGAAAATGTATTTCTGATTGTGGGCCTTGACTGTGACTCTCAAACTTTGTACCACCAGCTGGAGGAGTAGATGGCTTTTATGGGGTCACACTGCCTTGGCTGTAAGCATACCTCTGATGCCCCTTGGAGCCTTCTTTCTTGCCATTGACGCCTATCTCAGGCCTTGGCACCTGCTGGTAGCAGATGGGCTCACACCAGTTTTCTTCTCAGGCGGTGCAGTATGACAACCACTACACCAATACCAAGTACTGCTTGTGCCAGATGCTGCGTGAACAGTTGGAGTCACCCCAGGGAAGGTTGCTCCATGCTGCCCAGTCTTCTCAGGAAATTTGGTAAGAAGGGCAACGAACTATCCATCTGTCTTTGCAGATGTTTCCCAGGCTTGACCTTGAGCCTTGTGATGGCCACAGGGTGTCAGGCTACATAACTTCTGGACGGTGATCTGTAAGAGTGAGGTGATGGTACAGCTTTGCCTCATAGAGTGGGATACTTTCAAAGCTTTGGAATGTTCTAATCCTAGACTCATCTCAACAATAGGGTTTTGGGAAGTAGGGCACTAGTATATTAGAGGAATGCAAAAGATAGGCTTAGGAATTCCTGAGGAGGAAGGGGCTTTTCCATTAACAAGCCTGTAACATGCCAGGCTATAGTCAGGAAAGGTAGGGCTATTGAATAGAGCCTCTGGCCTCTGTTCCCACACCCATTACATTGCAGTTTGAGAGGCCACTGTTTGGTCCTCCAGATCTGGTGTAGCTACAACTCAGGTGGTTGACCCTGGAGGTACTTCATAGCTTAGTCTAGTCTTGGCTTCTATGGCTCCGTGTCTACCTATCTGCTTTCATACCTCCATACCTGTGCTCCTGCTGGGTCCTCTGCCTAGAAAGCCTCTCCCCTTGTCTGTATCCTCCAAGAAGCCCTTCTGAACCAATCTCATCCTTAGGGATCCATCCGCTTGCAGAGCCTCCAGCCCTCAAGATACATCCCAGAGGGAAAATATTTGCCAGAATTATTCTCAATGCCCCTGGCTTGTGGCATTGATTCTTTCTCTACTCCAATAGCTTAGGTAGCTGGACCTTGGTTCTTGGAAGCTCCAAACTGAGTATAATTCAGCAGCTCTGGTGGTACCTACCTCAGTTCCAGTTAGGCCCATGGCAGCTCTTTGAGGCCAGATGGAAAGTTGGGAACCACTCAGTGGTCAGGCCTCCATCTCTTCCTGCCATGGGCTGACATAAAGAAGCTGCATAAATCCCAGGTGCTTAATCAGTGTAGGGAAACTCTATCACAGCGGCTGGGAATACCCACTTGTCTGGTCATCATGGGGGAGAGACTATAAGTAGTGGGGGTGACCTTAGGACCTTTTCCACCCAGCCCAGCTTCCCTGCTCAGGGACATTCATTCTAGCTTCCTGTCTAGGTTAATAATGGGCTGGGCAAGAGGCTTTTGTTCTGGCCAGGCCCCCATGGCATTTGGTGCAATTGATTCTCAGTCGTGGGGCCCTGGGTTCCTAAAGTACCCTGAATGCTGCTCTACTAAGGTGCCTGCTCTGTTCTACTTCCTCTTATAGTGATGCCTTTGGCCTTGGTGCCTTCTATGAGGAGACTACTCAGAAGATGGATGCCCGGAGGGCTGAGCTCTTGGCCAAGACTGCAGAGAAGGTGGGGGAACCAGTTGAAGATACCTCTGGTGTCATTAAAATGGCTGTCAAGTTTGATAGGTAGGTTTCCAGCTTAGCCTTAGCATGGGCCAGGGCCAGTACCTTCAGAGTATGGCTAGGCCAACATGCTGGTTGCTGTATGTGCTGGGCACATGCCTGTAATCTCAGCTACTAGGGAGGCTGAGGTAGGAGGATCATAAGTTTGAGACCAGCCTGGGCAACTTCTGAGATCCTATCTCAAAAAATAAAAAGGGCTGGGGATGTAGTTTAGTGGTAGAGTGCCCTGGGTTCAATCTTTAGTATCCCCAAATGCTTAGGTACTACAAATCTCCTTGGATACTTGTTTGGTTTGGATACTTGTTCCCAGAGAAGGCATTTTCAGCTAAGATAGTCCCTGAAAGCCCAGGCAGGACTGTTTGAGGATGTGCGTGTTGTCTCAAGAGCAACCAAACTCTACTTTTTCCCAGACCAATCCCTCTCACCCCTTGTGGCAGGGGAACTTGTTTTCTATTCCTAAAAGTCTATGCTTCTTTCCCCCTGGCCTTGAGGAGCTAGCTGTCTACATGGAATTCCCCAATAGCTATAGGAGCTTCACCTTCGTTTGACCCTGGATCCCTGCCCACATCCACTGCCCTCACCAGCTCTGTGGTTCCCTCTTTAGGCAGAAGTAGCTTCATGCTTATTTTTACTTTAGATTGTGACTCAGCTCTCCCATCTCCTTCCCCCTCACCCCGTACTGGTGATTGAACCTGGGGTGCTTTACCACTAAACTATATCCCTATTCCTTTTTATTTTTTTATATCGAGTCAAGGGTCTCACTAAGTTATACAGGCTGATCTGAAACTTGAGGATCCTCCTGACTCAGCTTCCCAAGCCACTGGGATTACAGACACGTGTCACCACTCCAGGCTTGTGACTCAGCTTTGAATGGTGCCCTCATCCTTGTCATCTGCCATCTGATCTGAGCCTTTCTTCAGTCCCCGGACCCAAACCAGAATCCAGTCTTCTCTGGCAAGACTGTGTGGTGGGGGTGAGAGGACGACTGTTGGGCAGTCACACGCTAGAGGGAGCTCCCAGTGGGAAGTTGAAACATGTCCCTCCTACATTGTCACTCTGTCTCAGACAGACTCTGACATCAGAGTTCATTGTGTCCATGGCAGCAACAGATTATTTTGACACTTGGCAGATGGAGTCAGAGTGGGCACTGAGTTAGAATCCTGAGCTAAGTTCCACACCTTTGTCTACTCTCAGAAATCTTGTGTGGTGAAGCAAATTGGACCTTCCTTCTTTGTTATTAAAGACTATTTTTAAAATAATTTTTAAAAATATTTTTTAGTTACATGGACACTATATCTTTGTTTTGTTTATTTATTTTTATGTGGTGCTGAGGATCGAACCCCGGGTCTTACATGTGCGAGGCGAGCACTCTACCGCTGAGCCACAACCCCAGCCCTTAAAGACTGTTTTTCAAGATCGAGTTTTAGGATTCTCCCCACCTTCAGTTTCCCTAGAATGCTGAAGCCCATCTTCGCTTTAGGTAGAAGCTAGTTACCAACCACTGGCACGAAAGGAAGGGGAGCCCAGAGGAGTAGGCATAAGATCCTTAAGGCAGCAGCCTGGGGTCTCAGTTCCTGTAGCCCCTATCAGCTGAGTGGTACCATTGGTAAGAGGGGGAGTGGAGATGGTGAGTGGTTCCTGAATGCTTCTTCTCCTTTCCATAGGAGAGCTTATCCACCCCAGATCACCCCCAAGATGTGCCTGCTGGAATGGTGCCGGAGAGAGAAGTTGGCACAGCCTGTTTATGAGACGGTGAGTTCCTAGCTGTGACTGCCCTGCAACCAGCCATGGTGCTCCCTCCAGTGGTGCCATCGCCTAGTACACCCACAGTTCATACCCTGAATTCTAGACTATTTGGCTAGTGTGTAGCTTTGCCCTCTAGGCATGCAGAAGTTGCTTGTGGCTGGGTCAGTTGCTGATAGCCCTTCCCCTCTGACCTTGGACTATTTTCCAACCTGGCAGGTATATCTTTTGATTGGACCTTAGCCAGTGGGGCACAGAACTGGGGCCTAGACATGGGGCCTGTGGTGTGGAAACCTTGAGATTAAAACCTTGCTTCACTTCTTTTGGTCATTCCTTGTTTAGGCTGCTCTGCCTCTTCCAGACAGGCTTGTACCTTCTGTGCCTTGTCCCCTTCTGCCAGAGTGACTTTTGCAACATAAATCTAACCTCTGTCTCTCTTGCTCAAGTTATCAGCTCCCCAGTGCCTGTAGGATCTAACCCAAGACCCTCATCATGGAGCATGTGACCTCCCATATGCCTTGCTGCTTCAGGTCTCATCCACTCATCCATATCACCTGGTCTTCCAGATGTATGTTCTCTGTCCCCACCCACGTCCTCTTTCACCCCTTTGCCATCTGGTAAACTCAGTAGGAGGAGGTCCCATATTCGCAGGCAGTTAAGGACTTGACAGCCCTTTGTTTGGGTTCATGACAGAAATTTGGTCACACATGGTGTCGTTGTTAATTTGTATAGGTGGCTTTTTTTCCTTAGAAGACGCACCTCCTTTTACATGGGAGGAGCATATGAATAGACAGCCTTCAGTTGCATTAGGTTAGAAGTACTTCCCTTTGATGTGATGGGGCAGGTGGGCCTTGAGGGCAATCAGCCCTTTTTCCTTTGTCCTCTGTACCAGGTTCAACGACCGCTAGATCGCATGTTTTGCTCCGTTGTCACTGTTGCAGAGCAAAAGTACCAGTCCACCTTGTGGTGAGTTTTCTTATCAGAGGGCGTGAGGCTTGGGGTGGGAGGTCCTGAATCCAGCATTGGTCTGGGAGGGTTGGGTGGATGGTGTGCCTGAGCACTGATGGCCCTGTATGATGACACTTTATTCAGTTTTATCAGAATCTCTGCTAAGGGTGTATAAGAGTAAGAATTCCTGGCCTTTCATCCTGCAACCTGCCCACCTGTCTTATTTCCCTATTACTCATCTGCCCAGGGACAAGTCCAAGAAATTGGCGGAACAGACTGCAGCCATCGTCTGTCTGCGGAGCCAGGGCCTCCCTGAGGGTCGGCTTGGTGAGGAGAGCCTTTCATTGTACAAACGCAAGCGGGAGGCTCTTGACCAAGACTCTGGAGGCCCCAGAACTCAGGAGCCAGCCCTGCCTAAGGAGCTATGCAAGAAGCCCTTTGTGACATTGGGAAGTGGTGAAAAGAGAACCCTGGAAGGTTGGTGACTACTGTCCCTGCCATGGTAACCCTCTCCATGGGTGTGGCACTGAGGTGGCCTTGATACTGGAGCATGAACCAAATGCCACTTGTTCAGTTTGCTGGCCCTGCCTGGCAAGAGTGTAGGAGGTCCAGGACTAGGTCATCAGTCTAGAACACAGGCCAAGGAGTGCCCAGGTGTGAATCGCATTTCTTCTGACTGGCAGGGCCAAGTTCCTAGTGATTTGAGTATTGTCTTTGAAAACAGGAGCTTTTCAGGTGGTTTATCCCTAATTTGACATTGGTACAGTGCAATAAAGACACCTTCCCACTGTTACCCATGGCTGACTGCTTCAGCCCTGGGCATCTTCACACATAGACTTGTGTCCTAGCATGATTATTCTACTCCCACCCTTTGTGAAGAAATGTGGCTTCCAAAGCATGTCCCCTGCACATCCTTATGGGTATGATGGAGCTGGGGGATGGGCTATCAACTTTCAGGCCCACCAGACTTGGGTTGACCTAAGAAGGTCCAAGAGACCCATTCTAACATAGGAAACATGAGGTGTTAGGCATTAATTGACTTTCCTTAGAAAGAAAAAGTAAATTCTTACAAAAAAAAAAGGTAAATTCAGTAGAATTTGGGAAAGGACTAGGGTGTCTGCTGCCCCATTAAGTGATCAGCCCAGTGGGGTGGGGAGTGTTGATCTGATTCTTCAGTCTTTAAGCCTGAAAGGTGATTGGAGCTCAGACCTGCTTTGTATAGTGGGTACTGGAAGCTGTGGGTGACAGCAGTTTGGCTATTGCATTCACAGGTCACACCCACTCTTCCCCCTCCCCAACCAACTTGGGGCGGAAGGAAGTGGCAGATTCACTTTAATTTCCTCTTGGCAGTGAGAAGCAAACAATCAGCCACTACCTCATCTCTTGGGGCCTCCCCCACTTACTGGGAAGGGCATTCTGACCAAAGGTCTCTGCCCAGCTCCGCCCCCATTTCCTCTGCTGTAAACATGCTGTGTGTCCTCCGCTTTTCTAGGCACTATGAGGGGAGGATTCCCCTCTGGGCCAAGGCTATCTTCCCTACATCTCCCTTGGATCAACCTAATGGCTCTGTGGCAACCTGACCTAGGGTCTGGCCCCCTTTCTAGCCAGTAGCCCTTGTTTCCATGGGTCTCTGAGTCAAGGGTTTGGTGGGTGAGGCTTTGTCCTAGTCCCAGTGCTGCCCTTCCCTGTCACCCACACTTGCTTTTTTTGTGTTGAGATAAGAATACTCAATCCCAGCTACCTCCCAGAGCCTTGGAGCTGCGCAGACAGAATAGCCCCAGTGGAGCCCCCTCTGTCACTGGGGAGGCACTAAATCCCACCCCTCCGATGGGAATGGCCATTGATCTTTTCTCCTGTCAGTGTGGTTTTCCTGGGGATGTCTCCTTCCCCGTCAGGGTTAGGTTCATTGCTGGGCCATGGGGAAGGACAGGCAGGGATAGAGTTCCATTAAGATAGAGGCTGGAGTTTGGAGCCTCTGAGGGCATAGGGGAGAGGCTCATTCACTAGAGTCAGGTAGGGAGGGGCTGGTTACTTTATGTCTGTTGACTGAGGATGTTTGGCATAGGTCCTAGTTGAGGGACTGGGGTGCTGGGGCTCGGTGGTAGCGCACTTGCCTGACACGTGTGAGGCACTGGGTTCGATTCTTGGCACCACATATAAAAATAAATAAAATAAAGGTCTATCAACAACTAAAAAAATTAAAAAAAAAAAAACAGGTCCTGGTTGAATATGAGGTCCTCATTGCACCTCAGTGGTAACCTGCCCAAAGCCTGGGACTGAGAGCCTTAGATAGGCCTAAAGACTTTACCCACCATTAGTGACCATGCCTACCTTAAATTAGGCCACTTAAAACCCCCAGACCCCTTTCTGGGCTAGTAGCTCAACACTTATTCATCCATTTACCCACTTTTGAGGCCTTTCCCTTAACTCATCATATTTTAGGGACAAAAGGTTGTTTTTTTTTCTCTAATATTTATCAGTTATTGATGGACCTTTATTCATTTATTTGTTTATATGTGGTGGTGAGAATCTAACCCAGTGCCCCACACATACTAGGCAAGTGCTCTACCACTGAGCCACAACCCCAGCCGACTAAAGGTTTTGATATGAGCACAAGAGGGAGAGGTGAATAAGATTGGAGAAGGTGGCAGGATTTCCAATGGTATCTAAAGAAGACTGGATTTGTGCAAAGGTGAAGGGGAAATCTCTTAGATCTATAGTTCCTTATCTTAGGGCCTCCCTGGATATCTTGAGACTGCCCTCTGGACTGAGACCAAACCCCTCTACCTAGTGAGGACAAAGTGCTGACCTATCTTAGCACCCGGTGCTGACTCCAGCAGCTAACTTTCTGAGGTGTAGTTGGCTGGTCTTATCCTTTCCACCCTGATTTGGGAGCTGCACAAGGGCAGTCCTTATGTCCTTTATGGCCAGTGTTGGCCTGGGGGTTGGGGAGCAAGCACAGAAGACTAAACTAAGAGCTTCAGATGAGAGATTCATGGCATGGAGAGGAGGAACTTGTTTAAATTGAGTTTCCGCCAAGCCTCCTGTTTCCCCCTGGAGTGAAACAAGGGGCTGGGTTGGACTAAACTATACCATCCTATGGCTTTGAGGACACAGAACCTTCAACAGTGGGACCTCAGGACCAGGCCTGTGGCAGCTGGTAAAAGAAATGTCTATCTGATATTCAAGCCTGGCTGGCATTCACACATGAGGGAGAAGGGTGTTCCTGCATTCTACTTCCCTGGCTCCTGGGCTTTCATTTCATAGTGCTCTTAGGTAAGGAGTGGATCAGATGACTTGCAGGGCCTTTGGAACTTGTCTTATAAAGAGGTAATGAGGGGAAATCTTGGCCCTTGCTGGGAAAGGGGGTGGAAACAGTATGCATTTTTGGGTGTGTGTTTATAGGTCCCTTCATAACCTGCAGCATCCTGGCCATTGTTACTTTTTTTTTTTTTTTTAACAAAACCAATTGCTCCCTGCAGTTGGTGGCCACTCCTGCCCCAGACCTCATCACTCCTTGTTAAATTCTCAGTTTATTACAGACCAGAAGTCTGCCCCACAACATGACCCATTCTAAGTGTTCTCCAGATGCTCAATCCTTGCATTGCTGAGCATTTAATAAATGGGAGAATTTTTAAAGCCATCTACATTTTGTCTGTGGTCCAATTGGGGTGTAGGGATGAAGGAGCTGGCAGGCCCTGGATCTCTCTCTTGCCTGCCCTTTGGTCTGATTGGCTGAGCTCCTGGTTCAGGTGAAATCGTGTCTGGAGGGAAAGAAGACCTGGGATAAGGGTCTATTTTCTAAATGCAGATGACAACCTGGGAGGTATGTGTATAATGGTGGGGAAGGGGATTCATCCTGAAGTTGCTGTAAGTTTTGTGCGGTGGGGAGGTGAGCTGACTAAGCTTTTGGCACCTTACACTGTATCAGGATCATATTGCATGTGGTATTAATAGGTGGGCCGTTAACTTGAGGCAGAGGGCTACAGAGCTGGAATGGCATTTGGGCTCCAGGTTGGAGATTCTCTGAAGGCAGGACTGCTTGTTGGGAAGAACTTTCTACCTAAAGCCATTTTTCCCCCTAGTTGGTCAGTTTGTCATCTCCTGCCTTTAACCCCACCCAACTCCCCATTCCAGTATTCCATCCAGAATTCTGATCATGTAATACCCTTGCTCTAAACCCTTCCATAGCTCTCTACTGTCCTCAGGATATAAATCCAGGCATCTTGCAGTGGCCTATAGATCTCTGCCCACACATCCAGCTTCCCCTTTGTCTACTGCTTATTGCAGGTACTTTCTGGTCTCCAAGTCTTTGGAAGTCTGTTCTTTGCCTGGAACAACCTTTCTTACCTCTTGCTTGTATCTCCTGTTCTTACCTCCCTATGAAGGTCCTGCAGCCAGGGAATTTTGAACCTTTTCAGAACTGCTGGCACAGCTCTAATCTCTTTGCACAGTAATTAGAGATTTGCTGTTACCCTTCCCCTGACCCCTGAAGGGAGACTTAATTTATCTCTGCATCCCCAGATCCAGAGTAGGTAAAGGCATACAGCACTGGGCAGGAATGAACTGGTCCAAGATGAATGTCTCACATGCTCAGGACATTCCTAATTCTCCTGACCTAGTTAGGTTCCCCCTAGGGCTCCCTGGTAGCTCAGGAGTCACTGAGATCTCTACAAAGAGCTCCACCTTGCCTCCTCTCCCAGGGGTTTTTGTGGGTGGTGTGGGTATGCTGTAGGCCCTGTGAGGTGGCACTTTTCAGGCCTCCCATCTACACTCAAGCCTCTTGAGGCAGCACCATGGGTTCCTCCAGTAATGCTCTTCAGGAGATACTATGCCCTGTGGGCCTTTTGCCAGGGGCAAGGAGCCTGGGGAGACCATCATTAGTGCCTCTCCTGACTCCCTGTCTACTCATGAGCCTCAGTGGATCCCCAAGTAAACAAGCCCAGGCTCAGAGTCCCCAGACCCAGGAGGCAATGTCTTGGGCTGTCCTAGGAGAAGGCAGGCCTCTGGGGATGGACGGGACAAGATCCCTCCTGCATTCATGGCTGTGTATGGGGATGTAGAGGTCAAAGCTGTGAGTGGCCCGAGCTCACAAGGAGTTCCCTGCTCTGCCTGCTCAACTTTGATAGGGAGATAAACCCTGCCCCTCTGTCTTTTGGATGAATTCTAGAATGCACACGCTGCTTCCAAGCAAGGCAGGCTAGTGGGGCAGACAAAGGTGCAACCATCAAGACGCGGGCCCCACTCCACCGTAGAGGGTCTGTTGCTACCCATTTCCTTGGGCTCCATCCACTCCTTACCTGGAGCCTCCGTTCAGTCCCTGCTCTTTCGAAATTCCACCGTTGAAGTTGGGATGGAGGGATGGGATTGAACCCAGGGGGCGCCTAACCATTGAGCTACGTCTCCAGTCCTTTTTATTTTCTATTTTGAGACAAGGTCCCGCTTAAGTTGCTGAGGCTGGCTTTTAACTTGCGATACTCCTGCCTCAGCCTCTGCCACCTGAGTCGCTGGGATAATAGGCGTGCGCCACCGCGCTCAGCGGCTTTTATTTTTGCTCACGCTGACCTCGAGATCACACAGCCTCAGCTTTCCGAGGTGTGGGGATTAAAGACGTGTGCCGCCCAGGCGGGCCACCATGCATTCTTTAAATCCTGTCATCAGTAGTAACTCTAAACGGCCGCCCATCATCAAACCTATAACCCTATTGGTGCTCCTTCCTCGACGTGAACTCTGCCTAATGAGGAAAGGCATCTTCTCCAATTGACCTGTGGTGGTTTCCCTAATCCAACTGAAGAGGACTATGGGCTCTAACACGGGCTTGGTTTAGGAGTTCC